GATTAATTAGCTCGTGCTCTGGACTGCTTTGAAGGGAGAACTTGGCTGAAGACTATCCTACAAAGCGTGATGTTGACTTCTTGTGTTTACAACGATGGCGTCATCAAATCTTGTGTTCCGGCCTTTGACTGAAAACGGTCAACCTAGGGATGTCACTAATCAACATCGGATTAACTCGCACAGAGAAATGGCATGGTTTCCTAGTTAGAGGGGAAAAATTAAGTATTATTCAGATGATCTGAATTATCCTACTTTTTGAACGCAACGGCGGCATTGGGCTTTGATGTTAATATGTTTCCTTGACAATGGAGTGTGGCTAGGTTACGAGCAAAGTATTCAAAGCAAAACAATTTTCTATAGCCAACTTTTTGAATTTTTTTAAAACTCTTATCTTGACAGGTTGACCGCTCCGGTGGCCTAGTGGTTAGAGTGTCCGCCTTGGATGCGGGAGGTCGTTGGTTCCACCGCCAGCCGAGTCATACAAAAGACTTATAAAAATTGTACTAACAGCTGCCTCGCTAAGCGCTCAGAATTAAGAGGTTACTTTTCGGACTGGTCGGCTTGGTGTTAGAATAATGTGACTGGGTGGGATATCATGCTACATGTCTGCGGCATGATGCTCCAGTGCTAGATATCACTATAAACTGCCACATTGCATGTATCGTAGCGATATGACCTAAAAATCGTTAACTCTTCGTTAAAATTCCAAATCACACTCGCATAACTTGACGGGTATAGCACTATGCTGTGAATCAAGCTTATTTACCCCTAAACATACGCAAATTTGGTTCGGATGAACTGGGGATGGGATTAACGAGTCGGGTAAACAATTATTTTTCATTTCAGACTTGATGACATTGAATTAAAATACACGTGGTTTGAAAAAGTGACGTGATGAACGTCATCTTACTGATAAAATTAGTATATAGTCAGCATATGTCTTTTGTTTTGCCAAAATGTTAATATTACACACACATATACACACACATTATTATTTCATTTAAAACCCCAGAAAGACGCAGATATATTATGTTTAGTCAACAGTGAGTGTATAATCATAACGTATTGTACTTTAACCTTGACCATTGAGGTCCCCTGCAATTCAACGCCCGGTGAATACATGCATGCAATGTGCAGTTTGGATGACACATCTATTATATATGTGTCATATTAGTAAATACAACAATATGTCTAAAAAGTCAAAATTAAGGTTTTGTTATCCTTTCCTTGTCAGTCAGAAAGTTAGAAAGGTGTATAAGTACATTTTTGGGTATCGTACGCTTGTCTGTACCTCCTGTCTGCTTGTGTTATAATATACACGTATCCAATACACACACCTCTCTCTCTCTCTCTCTCTCTCTCTCTCTCTCTCTCTCTCTCTCTCTCTCTCTCTCTCTCTCTCTCTCTCTCTCTCTCTCTCTCTCTCTATTATATATGTGTCATATTAGTAAATACAACAATATGTCTAAAAAGTCAAAATTAAGGTTTTGTTATCCTTTCCTTGTCAGTCAGAAAGTTAGAAAGGTGTATAAGTACATTTTTGGGTATCGTACGCTTGTCTGTACCTCCTGTCTGCTTGTGTTATAATATACACGTATCCAATACACACACACCTCTCTCTCTCTCTCTCTCTCTCTCTCTCTCTCTCTCTCTCTCTCTCTCTCTCTCTCTCTCTCTCTCTCTCTCTCTCTCTCTCTCTCTCTCTCTTACTGGTGGTATATACGTGTCTTTAACTCAATAATGTTCTCTTCATGTTCTGTTAACGAATTCTATATAAATTCATCATTCAAAAACGAAAACAGGCACTACGTCACATTATATTTATTGATACAAGTTTCTATTTTTACCTTTACTGATTAGTATCCACTACTCATACTGGCTGTTCTTTTTTTTTCAGTTCATTCTAAAATTAGCTTTTAGTTACGCCATGCACCATTAATAGTCGCGCGATTTGTAGGCGATTGAAGTGTCTTATAATGATTGCTTCGGTGCGAGAAAATGCCTTTAGTCTTACGTAACACCTCAATAACGCAATATGAAATATAAATGCCTTTCGTCTTACGTAAAATGACAATAACAAATACGATATACATTTACTTAATTATTCCTTGCAAAATAATTCTGTAAACATGGCACAAGTCATTGGAATATTTGGGCTTTTCACAAAACATGGCAACTTAATATCACGATGATAGTTAAAAAGTTGATCAAGTATAGGATTTTATTTGAAAATTGCGTTATATTTATTTTACAATAAAGGAAAACTTATTATACCTCAATTTGCACTTTAAAACAACGTCAATAATTAATGTTATCGCAAGGATACATGTAAATAATACATGTCGTTAGATACATTGATGAGAAATATATCAACGGGAAAATGCAGATAAAGTTAGAAGAACATAGTCACATATATACATGTATATAATGTATAAATTATATATATATATATATATATATATATATATATATATATATATATATATATATATATATATATATATATATATATATATATATATATATATATATTGTATATACCGCTCCTGTGACCTAGTGACTGAAAAATTGTTCAATCTACATTAAAAATCTAAATCACACACATAAATTGTATATAGATATATAAATTGGGGAAAATAACTAGGTTTCGGGGGTGAAGTGGGGTTTACGTTGAAAAAAAAAATGTTAACTGGAAAATTAAACATAACCAAGACAGGAGGTGTGTTAAGTTAAATATTGTTTAAAGGTAACTCTACATACGCTATCAGAATTATTTCTTAACTATTCTGACAATAATGGACTTTTGACATGGTTGATTTATACTCATAATTAAATGATCTGAGAACACTTCTTTTTATTCATTTACCTGACAATTCTCACAAAGTCACTTAGGATAAATACCGTTCGTGGGTACTCGATATCTTTTGGTTCATCAATAGTGCGGTTAAAAATATATTCAAATGGCTAATAGCTAGAAAAGAGTTCCTTTTTATTTAAACACACCCATCAAACAAATCTCACGATCTGTATTATCTACAGTTATCACTTTGTCACCTTTAAATTGATAGCGTACATCAAAGAAATTATTAAAAAGCCGGGATTTCGTTTTGCAAAGTAGTCGGTAACACATTTCAGAAAGAGAAAAAACAAAAAATACCCACGATCAGCCTAGGATTTGAAAGACGCTGAATCATGTTCACTTACTCTTAAAATTTAACTTGTAAGCTAAAATACAAATATTGTTATCCTAAATTTGTTTTTAAAAAAATCGCTTCATATACTAATTGATAGTATCGTGTCTGCATAAGAAATTGAGACTAATACAACCTACAATAGAGAAATAAGTCACTTTCACAGCGTATCGAAAGAATGAATGCCGTACATCTATAAACGCTAAAACACAGGTATATGCGCTGTAGTGATATCTCGGAGTACAAAATGTACAGAACACAAAAATTTAAGAAATGAACATAACACCTCTCTCTAATGATTTTTTTTTCTTCTTCGAGGAATGGAAATTGCCAGCTGGAATGGAATGTAGATAATACTTTGAGCTAGCCCGTCGAAAATTAGTCTGTTCGGTGGTCGATCATCAGTATATATATATATATATATATATGTGTGTGTGTGTGTGTGTGTGTGTGTGTGTGTGTGTGTTCAAAATATCAACATAACTTAAATTTAAATATGATAGACATATATCGATGCACATACATACATACATACATACATACATACATACATACATACATACATACATACATACATACATACATACATACATACATACATACATACATACATACATACATACATACATACATGAGCACTTACCTGCTAACCAAATTAAAACATCCACAATTACTTGTACAGTGAGGAAAGGGGGAACTGTCTCCTTTTTAATGCAGCCTTCCATTTCTCGACTGTATAGTTCTTTAGACCCAGTGATTACAAACTGCAGTTTTAAATATTAATGAAATTTTATCACTCCACTTTTTTCGGCACAAAAAAAAACTATTACAGATATATATGCTGGGACGGGCGAATCGGTGTCAGAAGCAAAGCATATCACATTTAGATTTTCGATAACAACTTCTCACCAGCCTTCCTATTCAAACTTAATCTAAAGCCTTCTTGTGGGTTTGAGCCTGTCCTCCAGTTATCCAAACCTATAACCACGTCGCTGCTGATTTGCATACCGTATATTTACGTATGAAACCATTAACTATCTGAACAAAACACATCTGTACCTTGTGTATCAGAAGTTGGAGTGTGCCTTAATCATTACGTATGAAGACTTTTGCTGAGAGAGAGAGAGAGAGAGAGAGAGAGAGAGAGAGAGAGAGAGAGAGAGAGAGAGAGCAGTGCCAAAGTAATGTTCTTTGTTACTTTTATATGTACCCAACTCCTTGAATGTGCATGTTAATTTTTTGATTGGCTGCGAAGTAAAATACATGATCCATGTATTTACTTTGACAACAAATAATTGATTTTTATTTTGATACCGATTATGACTTATTCATCATTACTGCTGATTTTTTAAGTAGTACCGGTAGTTTTAGTAGTAGTAGTAGTAGTAGTAGTAGTAGTAGTAGTAGTAGTAGTAGTAGTAGTATCAGCTGCAATCTAGATAGTAATAGTGTTATTAACATTATAGCGACGACGTTATCAAAAATGATAAGTACTAATGCAAATACTATTATTGTATTTCGCTATATAAACATTCTTGTTAAATATATCGTTTCATAAAATTGAAATAGACGTAAAGCTCAAAAACAGTTTCGTGCCGAAAGAATATTATTTTGTGTGTAAGTGTGTGATTTGGATTTTTAACAATTTTTCAGCCATATCGCTACGATTTCTGCATTGTGACAGTTTGTAGTGATTTCTAGCACTGGGGCATTATGCTACACAGACATGTAGAATAATGCCCCATAATGTCCATCCACCCTGACACAAGGCCGACAAGTCCTAGCACCATTTGTTATAAGTCTTTGGTATGACTCGGTCGGGGTTCAAACCCGCGACCTCCCGCATCCGAGGCGGACGCTCTAACCACTAGGCCACCAGACCGGTCTGAAAGAAATTTTTGCAACTTGCAACAATATCAAAGATGAAAAGCGGAAGCCCATATTTTGGAGAGTTTTATCTGACCGAGGTGCTACAAAGTGCGCATGAATCTAAAAAAGTGTAAAGCAAGTATGAAGTTTTTAAAGAAAAATATGTCTTTTATTATTTTTATTTTTTCCGAAAATCAACTCCTACAGTTTGAAAACTAGCATCTCTCATACCAAAGGTGGAATCTTTGGAAAAGAAGACTGTATTCATTAAGCCTAATTTCCGATGTACCATTTTGACAAGATTGAAACTCGTGGGTACATTTAAAACGGTCTTGCTTGCACAATGTCGCATGCGTCCTAAAACGGGATGATTTAAGTGAACGGATTTTGTTCTCAATACGCAGATTTTTCGGCATAACTGAGCTATGGATAAGGTAAGAAAATGGGACTTTTTAATGATAGAAACTGGACAATTAATTTTTTTTCCTTGAAATGTTGCATTTACGGTTTTATTTTTTTTTCTAACAATATATAATTAGAAATAAAAATATTTCGATGGATTTGAGTCTTTAAAAAAAAAAAAACTTCCACAATTAACGATTGATCCGAGTCATCATATTTGACAATTGTTTTTAGAATAAATTATTTCCTCTGTATCTTTCTCCCGTTAAAAAATAAATGCATTTTAACTAGAACAAAGACGATTGACAATCATATATACATCGGTTTAGCTGCAAATTTACAACGTTCAAAAGAAAATGCGACAAAATACAAATGTTCACCAAGATATACTTGTTAGAATGATTATTTTCACAAGAAAAATTGTGAATCTAAAAATTATGTATTTTATTAAGAACCTAATGAGACCTCGACAGTCGTAAAATTTATCAGAATCCATAAATGAAGTCAAGATTATTCAACTTCCATACCATGTTAAGGACACCCGAACAAACAGGACATATGAATAGATACATACGATGATAGTTACATACCTTCTACAGGTATGTAGATAAATATATAGATAAATATAAATCTTACCTCTAAATAACTCAGATGAATAGATATGTGTGAATATTGCAATAAAATTTGATATTTGTGGTCACACGAGTTTCATATGCCAGTTATAATTACAATGTGAATCGGTTATCAATGACCAATCAGTAAATAAGGCTAATATAAATAATAATATGAACCCAGGCGTACAAAAATACATAGTACGTACATATGTGCATGCATGAATACAGAGACATATAGACTTGCACTTTTTTGTAACATAGCAAGGATATGTATTCATTGCTATTTATAGATTTTCTGCTGACAATTTAGAATAAATAACACAATATGATTTTTTCTTTTCACTTAGCTGAAAGAGAAATGTGTGGTAATAAACTCTGAATTAACGTGCTATTTGAGTTTTATATGGTTGTCTTCACAATAAAATAGACTTAGGAATTTGTTTGTATTCACTGTCTTCCTTTTCATTCTCACGTTTCCCCCTCCCCCCTCTTAACTGTGCACCGGTGTTGGTGTATGTCATTCGTAAGTGTATCACAAAAAAAATAATCAATGCTAAGTATTTTAGCAGAACATCACAAAGTAACTATTAGCATTATATTTTTCTTAGTTATAGATATGAATAAATTGAAGTTTGCAAGGTGTTAACAATAAATTAGAAGATTGTCGAATACTTATAAAAGACGGGTAATTGTGCACCCATTTTATAAGAGATTTTTAGAAACTTTTCAGTGTATTTTAATTTGGTGGAATAATTTGAGTTGTTAATGCATGGCAACTGTAGCGCGAGTTCGTGTGTGTGTGTGTGTGTGTGTGTGTGTGATTTAGATTTGTAACATAGCTTTAAAAAAAACTTCAGTCTTATCTCCAAGATGTCTGCAGAGTGACAGGTTATAGTTATGTCTGGCACTGAAGCATCATGCCGCAAAAATGTATCATGTCCTACCCAGTCACATTATCCTGATACCAGACCAACCAGTCCGAACACTAATTTTTTAATGCTGAGCGCCATTTGTATAAGTTTTTGGTATGACTCGGATGGGGTTCGAACTCAAGACCTCCAGTATCAGAGGCGCTCTAACCACTTAGTGCACCGGAGAGGTCTGCGTATGATCGGTATTGTCAATCGAAATCGCTGGTGAAATTGTAGATTCTTAATGTTTGAGAATATCATATCGATTTCAAATGTTCTAATTAAAGATATCAGGAAATGTTTCTTGGTATTGACTATCGTGCGCACCATTGATATAAAAACGATAGTTCAAGCTGGACCATGGACTGCCAAATCCATTGAAATTACGTTAATCACATCAAATGGTGTCCAGCAGCGAATCATTGAATGAAAGACTAATCCGTTCCGTTTATTTTGTCGTTCCATATTATTCCCGTACCAAACCATTCAGTGCATTTATCAATACCACAGATTAAAACTTCAAACCATTTACTGAAATCTGGAACCTTGCTATAAAATAAACAACAGTCCAAACAACTCTTGCTAATCATTTACTTTGAACTCGAGTCGTTTGATCCCAAACCATGCCCTCGATTTTTTGAATTAATAAGAATTAAAACCAAAAAGCCGATTTATATAACGATCTAAATCGAAATCAATAGGTAAATAACACATCAACATACTAAAGAAATTGTCGATTCATTAAAAATATTCATTTTCACAGCTGTCTAGATTAAAAAGATACGAAGCAATAAAGCCCGCCAAAATTTAAAAAGAAAAGCGAAAAGAAACGGTAAAATTTGTACGTGGAGTAGTAAACATTTTGAGAGTTCTGGATCGCAATAACTCAGCATTATATACAACGCAATAACTTCACTGACATAACAAGGTCTACTACGATGGCTTTCAGGAACATTAAATGTAACTTAGATTTTGCATATCATCGTTAATGAATCAGTCTACAATTAAATGCTCCAATTAGTTATTGCAATAAATAAGCGCCGTGACAAAAAAGTGCAGGACAAGTGCAAGTTGACATTTAACACACATTTTGAGTCCTGTGAAGTGTGTGTGTGAGTGTGTGTGTCTGTTTAACCTAGCTTTTGTCACATAAACCCGTCAAATTAACAGTTTCGGCGAAAATTGTTGCCAAGATTGAACATTGGTTATATTCAATTAGTTTTACTGATGTTGCTATTTTAAGTTAACACACGTGAACCTCCAAGATACCCGTGCTGCGTGAAATCAAGCTGTCATACATACATCGATCCGTTACGAGAATGCAAAGCTGTCAAGATAGAGACAGAAATGTGTGGAGGGCACACGTATCCCTAGGGCTCCAGCGAACGTTTTGACTGGCGGAGGGATAAATCGGTTATATAAGCAGGGAAGCAAATGGACTGGAACATTGAATAGTATTAAATTGTAGCCATATATATATATATATATATATATATATATATATATATATATATATATATATATATATATATATATATATATATATATATATATGACTTATGGGATGAAGAATTGTGTTCATTCATGGAAGAATTGTGTACATTCATGGAAGTACAATTAAAAGAGCTGAATATCGAGATTTGAATCAGTTTGTTTATTTCACTTGCCATCACGATAAGTAGTGCAAGTGTTTGCATTATTAGTGTAATATACCAATAAATATACTGTTTTTCGTTTAATTTTCCTTGTTTATATTCCTATCCTGATCAACTATCACCCGTCCAAAATATTCACCCTCCCCTATCATCAGTATCTGACTAAGGGAATTCGTATCAGCTTTAACAATTTTAGTAATATCGCTACGATGTTTGCAGTGTGGCAGTTTATACTTGTGTCTAGTACTGGGGCATCATGCCGTAGACATGCAGCATGATGTACCACCCAGTCATACTATCCTGACACCAGGCCGACCAGTCTTAATGCTAATATCTTAATGCTGCACCGCAAGCTTGGCAGCTGCTAGTACCATTTATTTTATAAGACTCTGGTACGACTCAGCCGGGGATTGAACTCGCGACATCACGAATCCGAGGCGGACGCTTTAACCACTAAGGCCACAGGAGCGATGTCCTATAAAGAAACGACTAATGACAAATACAACATAAAATATCTATTGATCATTGTTAAGTAATTAATCTCTCAATATAAAAAAATACAGTGTTAAAGAACAAATATCGCCATCTATTGGCAAATACATATGCTAAATGAAAGTCTTGCACCCTGTGCCAAAGACAATGGCCGAAATGGAAAACAAAAACACCCATTCAACTATTGGAACTCCCTGGATAACAGGTTTGCACTCGTACCAACTTGATTTCTCAAAATCTGACATCTTTACTCGACGTCTGCAAGGAAGACATTCCATAAAGTTTTCGAACTATTCGTTCACAGCCCTGTTCCGTCTTATCTGGTTGTAATACGTGAATTAAAAGGACAGACCGAATTACCTATCAAAGTTTAGACAGTAAAGACTTGGTAGAAAATGATCGGTGACACAACGAACGTCCCATTGATAATCCAATGGTAGCGTTTCTCAAGAAGAAATTTGATTCTGATATGTGCCAAACATCAGATTGTTATTTTGACGTCTGTGCCCGAATCTCACGGCAGGAAGTTTGCACTTCCGGTCGTTTGCTGAAGCGGTTCTAGTATGTTCCCATCGGCCAGTGAGTTTATGTCAGCGTACCCAGTAGCGTACTAACGGGGGAGGTGGATGCGGACGGGACAGTTTTCAGGCCAGAGTTGGGGTCACAAAGAGCATGGGCATCATTGATTTTGGGGCGCCAAAACCCATTTGGGGTTATTATCGTCGCCAGAGACGTCAATTTCCTTTAGTACGCCATTGTGATTACTTCTTTTCGTTCTGGGTCGTTTTCTGCAAAGCAGTATACGTCGGCAACATAATGGCTGACACTAGCGAACCTAGCTCTATACTCAGCTATGATTTGCTTTGGGTTTATCCGCAGTGGTCAATGCATTCCATAACATTATTTATGACTTATGTCCCTTGACCAATCATACATGATGATTAAGTTTCTGTATTTCTTTTTACAGATTCAGCCAAATACGGAAAATATCATGACATTGGCAAAAACTTCCATTTTTTCAAATTCTAGCATTTCACATCATTTACTGGACTTGTTTATCATTATTATCCAACCTCCGGAATTGGTTTCTGCGGTAGATTTCATTTAAATATGGCATACGGCTTTACTTTGTTCAGACATTGAATATGTGTTTGATTTCCAATGTTCCACGAGATCGCTTACTAAATTATTGACCCTGATTGTCCGTCTGTTTTGTACTGACAATACTTAGCGAGAATATCAACCATTCCACATAATATCAACCATTCCACAGAATATCAACCATTCCACATAATCGTTTACAGGAATTATGGCCCTTAATTGCAGGTCCTCCTAAATAAGTCTCATGCAGCATAATGTTTCAATGGAACTTTGGAATTTAACGAAATTTATTATATATCTTCATATCAATGAGATCTTGATTGATTTGGACTTCCAACATTCAACTCATCATTTTAGAGGAATTATGGCTCTAAATTCCATTTTCTCAACAATCTTATTTTGCTCTTTCTGCTTCTGTGATCATCAATTGCCTCATAATAAAACACAATAATAACAATTACAATTTTACAGCAACTTCCATTTCTTCAGCATGTGATAAATTTAAAAATGTATAATATTCCTTATTTGTGCATATCACAGCGTACTTACTTGTAGAGCAGATGCAATAAAATACAATTAGCTAAGATAAGTTACTACCATAAAAAGCTGAACTAGTAGAAATATTTGTATTCTAAGAGTTACCTACATAGAATATTGCAAAAAGATTAATTATGAATTAAATAAAAATAATTACCAAATCTCAGTATCTGTTACATATGTGTGTGCCAGAAGCTACTGCCTGCTTTTAAATTGTTGTCAAAATTGATGCACATAATTATAACTGAGTGATCTGGATGGAAAAAAAAATTGACATAAAATATTTTTGCTTATTTTTATCCCTTGAAATTACCAAACATCTTTTTTTCACCTTCAAACAATTCTCATGCAGATAATTTTCTACTGTTACCAGAATTTGCAGGTATGTATTCACTAATCAGCTAGTAATTATTTTCCTTTTTCCCTATTTATAGTTATTTATTTTTATTTCCCTCTAATAAATATGTTTATACCAAAACTAGAATTCATATAAAGTGAATAAAACATTTAGACTGTACATAATTCACTATTGCTGATGTAACATGATTACAGCCCTTCTGAGACAAGCTGTTTTTGCAAAGAATTCCTTATAAATTGATTCCAGGATGATTTACTCCCCTTGGATACTCCTTTTTTGAAAGTGGAATAACTTTGTCAGTAACAACTGACGTTTAGGAATAACAGTACTAATTCAGATCACATTGTAAACTTATGCAAACACCATGACAAAAATTACAAAAATTAAAATGACAAAATTTATCTTAAATTCCTCCTAGAGCACATATAATTAAAAACTAAAGTAAGGCAGGCATAAGTCCATTAAAATTCAAAATATAAAGTTTCCAAACAATCACTGAAAGAAATAAGTGGGATACAAAGTCATGAGAGGTTATCTCCATTAAGCATGGTGGAAAAGACCTAAGTGATCCTATCTGATGCATTATGTTTCAAAACACAACTAGGAAATATCATATTACTTAGTTTAATTACTTTATAAATAAATGGTCAACTGTATACATTTTATATATGTATTACTTAGATATGAAACAAAGTGCAAAACACTCCACCCAGTACAGTCAAATTTTCACCATGTTCTCCCTCCCCATTTTTTGGCAACAGTTGGTATTCTGAATATGTGTTTAATATCACACTAAAATTCACTCTTTGGTTTTACAAAAGTTTTAATTTTGCCTCATATCCACAAATAGAATCATATGATTGCATTTATAGTAAAGTCAATTGCACTTGCATGTATGGAGTCACTGTATGGTATGGCTGGAGCTGTATTTTGGAATCACAGTACTAATTCAGTTCCCATAGTAAACCTATGCAAACACCATGATATCAAAAATTCAATAACTTAAAATTTTGGAGTGTTCCTGACCAAACTTATATTTATCAGTATAGATGAAACCTGGAGGTCAGCTTCTGTGCAGAGGAAATTATGTGAGCCGTAGCATTTTCTGGAGCTGCATATGTTTGAAACATATGCTTTCAATTCCACTCCAAAGAGTCAGGTGCTAATTTTAGTAATGAGTATTCCCCAACACAAGACTATTAAAGAACTGAAATTCCATCAATAAAACAATGTCTCTATTTTTATTCACTTTCAACTAGGATCAGATCTCAAAAGATTCTTTTTCCTAAAACATAACTTACATTATTAGCCAATCCTGGTCAGCCAAACCTGTATATACTCTATTTCAAGTTCACCCATATCTAGGCTGGTTCCCATTTTTCAATACAATTAGTACCATGTGTCCTTTAGATTACTGCTTTGAAAGTAGTTTGTTTCCTATAGATGGTTCCTGAATGACATTATCAGTAGCCATATCTCTGGTATGCTCACAGATTTATTGTTGAGCTTATATGGTGTCTGCAAGTTGAAATAAATTCAATGAATCACATAATTCTGTTACAAAACAAAAACAGAACAAAGATCTGGCTTTCTGTTAGCACCTTATACTTTTAATTTTTAACTTGATTTTGCTTCAGTGTGCCTTGTTCAAAATGGTCAATTTTGTTAGTCACATATAGGAGAAACTGCCAGGCTCCCCACTGTCCAGGTAAAATGGACCTAATATTGTCTGCTAACAACCTTATTGGGAAGCATCTATTTTACTTAACTTTGAATATAGTGCTTTTCCTTATATATTTAAAACTCAGTGTATTAGGTATGGATAAACATCATAGTGCCACCAAAAATTAAAAGTGTTTTTCGCATGCATCCAATCTAAACAATAGTTACATAGGTCCATAAGAAATATAATTTGTCTGACCAGCTGTCCTGATGCAGACCAGCTGTCCTGATGCAGACTATAAATAATTATAGGGAATATTGTATTTTGCTTTTAATGTAAACAATCTGTACAAAGTTAATGGTCTTGATCGAATTGCATAAATTCTATGATAGTAAAAAATTTGTTGAATAATGGTAATACTACTCATCATTCCAGTTTGCATGCTTACTTATGTTTGATATTGTCCTTGAAAGGACCCATATCATCTTGTCCCCATAGATTACTGAAAACATTTCTTTCATGATCTAACGACATTGCCATGTTACTTTCTGCTGCCTCTGCAACAATTGATTTGGCTGACTGAATAACTTGTGCATTTCCATCACAATAACCTGACAACCACTTCCTTGCCTCCAGAACAATATCACACTCTTCTTGTATGATTTCATCTGCTAATCCGATACTTTTCGCTGACTCTGCATCTAGCACCTTTCCAGAGCTTAACAGTTTCAGAGCACTTGTTCGACCAATTAATCTCACAAGTCTTGTTCCACCTCCCCAGCCAGTGGCTAAACCGACAGTCTTCTGAACAAATCCAATTTTTGACGATGCTGTCATGATCCTAAAGTCACAAGCTGTGGCTAATTCGGCCCCACCTCCAATAGCAAAACCTTTAATAGCAGCCACGCTTATAAGAGGTATGTTAAAAAGACGCATAGTAATATCATGCATGTACTGGGACATAAGCCTTCCCATCAATGGTGTATTGATCTGAAGAACTGTCGACTTATCCCCTCCTGAACAAAAGGACTTTTCTGCTCCCGTCAAAATCACACCCTTTCCATTTCTCCAATCCTCCAATTCTTTCACAGCATCATCCAAATCGCTCATCATTTTTCCTGCAATATAAAACAAAGTGAAACCTGTATATTATGGACATTCTAGGGACATGATATAATTGTTCTTTATAGACAAGTGTCCTTTATACACATGACCAGTACTCTTGATGTTCTTGTACAGTTATAACTCAGAGTTTTACATAACATAAAACCTGTAGAGATTCGTTTGAATAATAGGAATCCTTCTAAGAAAACATTAT